GACCAGATGTTATTCTTGTTTCACAGTTTCAGGCTTTCAGGTTTCAGCCATGTGCACTGCTTTTTATATATCAGGCTGAACAATTGCACAGGTTTCAGAATTATTGTATATATCAGACTGAACATTGTGCAGTTGTGGTTGACTGCTTGTGCACGTTCACGTTGTGGACTTGTGGTTGTGCACTTGTGCAGTTGTTTTACAGTTTTAGAGTGAAAATTATAGTGTCAAATTAGAGTGAAAATTACAGTGTTGGTGTTTCAGGCTTTCAGCCATGTGCACGTTCTTGTGCTGTGCATGTCCAAAGTCCAATTATCCACTTATATATTGAAAAACAGTGCATAGTCCACTGTTTGAAACTTGTCACAGTTTCAGGCTTTCAGGTTTCAGTTCAGCCATGTGCAGTTGTGCTTGATTGCTTGTGCACGTTCACGTTGTGCACTTGTGCAGTTGTTTTACAGTTTGAGTGAAAAANTACAGTTTTAGAGTGAAAATTATAGTGTCAAATTAGAGTGAAAATTACAGTGTTGGTGTTTCAGGCTTTCAGCCATGTGCACGTTCTTGTGCTGTGCATGTCCAAAGTCCAATTGTCCACTTATATATTGAAAAACAGTGCATAGTCCACTGTTTGTTACTTGTTAGCACAACACTTAAAACTTAGCAGTTAGCAATTAGCATTGATTGTTAAAAACCGAAACCGTACCGATACCGTACCGAACCAAAATAAGAAATACCGAACCGTACCGAAATAATTTGGTACAGTATTTGGTATACACAATTGATAAACCGAATACCGAAATACCGAACCGAAATTCTAAAAACCGAACCGAAATACCGAACGCCCACCCCTAGTTTTCAGATTACTAATCAATTCATTCATGGTCAGAGTTTGTAAATCTTTAGCTTCAGTAATGGCATTTACCTTACTTTCCCAAGATCCATGTAGAACACTAAGAATTTTCCTTACAAGCTTGTTTCTGGGAATGACATCTCCAAGTGAGTGAAGCTCATTTATGATAGAGGTGAATCTTGTGTGCATATCTTGTATGGACTCCTCATCCTTCATCCTAAAGAGCTCATATTCAGTGGTGAGCATATCGATCTTGGATTGTTTGACCTGAGTAGTTCCTTCGTGTGCAGTTTGTAGTGCTTCCCATATTTCTTTGGTAGTATCACAAGTTGATACTCTATTGTACTCATCAGGTCCTATGCCACACATCAAGATTTTCTTGGCACGATAGTTCTTTTCTACAACTTTCTATCAATGTCGTTGTACTCTTTTCTCCCTTGGGCACCAATGGTCCTGTTTCTTCAAGTTTCTTCATGGGAACATGTGGACCATCACAGATGATGTCCCACAACTCTGAATCTTCTGTCATCATGAAATTATGCATCTGGGTCTTCCACCAGCCATAGTATTGACCATTGAATCTGGGAGGTCTATAGGTTGATTGTCCGTCTTCAAAGTTTGGTGGAGCGGCCATTGAGGATCCTTCCTAGGTGTTATCCTGATAGGAGAAACCCGCTTTGATACCAATTGTTAGTTTATATAAGTCCACCGAACTATAGAGTACCTGGTCCTCTATGAGACTGATATGTAGAATGCAGTAAAGACTGAATATAAAGAAGGCAAGAGATTTTCTACGTGGAAAAATCCCACACAAGGGGATCAAAAAACCACGACCTACTCTTGTAGGCTTTTAACTCTACTAACTTGTAATCTACCTATTACAAGCCACTTTGCAAACACCCTATTGCAAAGACTTCAAACTAACTTGTGATGCAACCACCACAAACCACTTTATAACTCTCCTAGTTACAGAGGATTTAACTTATGACTATCCCTAGTCACAACATAAACTTTGAAGTTTACGAATTTGGTTTGTTCCTAAGACAACGCTTCTAAGAAAGCAAACTAGGAATTACAATAACGAACAAATAATAAAATTACAACTCAACTATGGATATACATAATACTCGTTTAGAAGCTGATCTTTAGTGGAGTTGTCTTCTTGTTCTTGACAAACCAATGACATCAATGCCGGATAAATACTTTTGCTTCTTGAGAGAATATCACTGAATGCACAAGTGATGGTGTATCTTGCACCAGGTTGTTTTATCACAAAGGATAGTGATGTCAACTCTTGGTGTACTTCTTCCTAGTGAGAAGTGACTGTTGCACTGTCTGCACTGCCACTTCTGGGTAGTTACGTTCCAGCTAGATAGTGGACTTTGTACTTTTGTTCGGATACACCAACAGACCAGGTCCTAGTTGTGTTCCTCTTCTGTAACAGTTGCCAGATGGTCACTTTCTTCTGCTACGTTCCAGCTGTGCACTTGACTTGTACTTTTGTCAGAGAACCCTAAGGAAGCAAGTCCCTATTGTGTTTCTCTTTATATTGATTGCGTATAGTCACTGACTTGTGCTTTTGTCTGAGAACCCTAAGGGACCAGGGCATCGGGTCCCTGTTGTGTTCCTCTCTATGGTCGTTCATTCATTTGCTGATTTTCAGACTTCGACCAGTTCACATGAGATGTGTATCCTGTGGGACAAGGTTCTATATCTGGTTCTTTACTACAAGTTTGTTAGATCATCAAAACATAAGAAGCATAAGGTTAAGACATCGAAAACCCATCAGGTATTGAGGTTTGAAGGAATAAGTTTGAAAGCTGAAGAACAAAGTATGAAAATTCGAAGAAAATCTGGGTAAGAACCTAAGAACAACTATGAGAATTTGAAGATCAAGGATGAAGATATGGAGGTTTGAAGGAAGTTGGTGATATCTAGAGAATTCGAAGGTTGAAGCTTGATCGGAATGTGGAAAAAGAACAGGGGATGGAAGCTTTTATAAAGGAAATACACGACGTTTCGCATTCGGGGGCAACCAGCCGATGGTCGACATGTGTCCGAAGTTAGAACGACGCGACTGATGGGACGTTTCGACTTCTTCGTTGTTTCGGTTGTAACGTACAGAAGAAGGAACCAAAGAACATCTGTCTTTTATCGTCGTTTTGGCAAACCTACTATCTGAGAAACAAGGGGACTATCTGTATACATATAAAAATGAGGTTAATGGGAACCCTGATTTTCTAGTGGGCAAAACGAATCTAGGAAGTAACTATAAGGAATCGAAATCAAAGGTGGGAGTCTCTCGTATCAAGGCCCGAACAAAACACCTACTATCGGAGCCATCGAGACCACGCTATCCCCCGATCCGGTCCGAGTTCCAAGACCTCGGAAAGCATTGCCAAACAGCCGCATACGAGTAATAAAGGGTTGTGATATCCGTGCCCAACCAGATATCTCGATTCGTTTCGGCAGCATATCAGTGATTAGCGAAAAGGAAGATTTTTACCTTTCTTAGAATTGTACTTAGGGTAAACTCCCCTACTATATAAAGGGGAAGTTTATTATTCAATAAACACTTAATAACACGCATACCAAGGCAATATACATCTGTTTTCTCTGCTTCTAAAAGTTAATCAAAGTTCTTAATTTTGCTCATAGTTCTTCCTAAGTGTTTGACTCCGAACCGAAAGCAAGCTACTTTTTAAGCTTATAACCGAGCCCAGGCTCAATATTACTACTGGTTTGGCTGTTTATTCTATTTTTAATTTGCTTATCTAACGTCACTAATCACTTGTATTGAATTAGTCCATATATTCTTAAAACAACGTATAAATTTAATTGTTATTCATTTTTAAGGGTAAATAACGTGGAAAGATGAAAAGTGGTATAGTACTAAACAATAACATTTCCACGTAGTGAAGCTTGGACTCTTTAATTTATGTACATACATTCTCTTGTGCTTTTGAACCATTTGTAATAAAAATAAAATTATAACTATGACCCTAGGAATTGAATTAAGTTCATTTGATCCCCAATGGTCCCTAGTGTTATATGTAACGAATGTTGGGTTGTCAAAGTTCAACATATCCACAAAACAAGTTTGTTGCAGAGATACAGATGATATGATGAATATGCGGTCATACAAAATTAAATAAGATATTAAAATAATCACATTTGCTAGTAGACGCGAGTTGAAAATATTGAGGATAAATGAGATATTGACCTATTGATGCACTGGTTTCTAGGGGCGAACTAGACCTAAAATAGCATAAAAGATAGTGGTGTTGAAAGATCTACAAATTATTCCATGGAATCAATTCAGGCTTCACTAAAGATACGATACAATTGAGGAAAACTATTCATATAGATGAAATCTACTAGTTGGAAATAGACTTTTGACTTATTAGAGAACCTCGGTTCTAATATTATTATTATTCCTAAAAAAAATTATTTTGGTATGATGATATGAGTTGAGTTTATAGAAAAAAGTAAGGGTTTATATAGCCAACACTAACTTGTTTGAGACTAAGTTATAATTATTATTGTTGTTGTTGCTAGTAATTTTCATAAACCAACAAGTTCGAATAATTTTTATTATGTCATTTTTTTTGTTTGTTAAATGTTTTAAGAACGGGCGTTCGAAATGGAAGTCACATGTAATCTAACAAATTATGGACAATAAAGATGTAACTGGCATAAACATAAACAATAATATATTCAGTACGTTACTCCTAGAGATGTGATGTCCAAAAAGGGACTACACGTAACAAGAACTGATGGAGGAGAAGAAGATACAAAACACTTTTGCTTTAATTTATTGAGAAATAACAAAGTGAATGCACTTCTCGTTTTGTCTATATATGCTAATAAAATTGGTAAATTAATATTTCACCAAAATTACACAAATAAAAAGACACACCATTTTCATCCCTTTTGTATTTTTGCCTTTTGGAGGATATAGGCTTGGACGCTCAACTACTCCAACAATTGCTATTAACAAAGTGGGACCCATCTCAAGACTCCTCCCCCATCCCCCCACCATACAATTCCCACACCCAATAAAAAAAATTAAAAAAAAGACAAAAAAAGAAGAAGGGTAGTTCGCACAAAATAGGATAATCCTATGAAAGATTGACACTTCCACCCATGTACTTTTACATCTCACAGCTTTTGCAGTTCGCTTAACGCCAGCATTCCGGTGTTAGGGAATGGTCTCTTTTGGAGTCTCGACAATAGTCATAAGCCAAGTAGTGACTATGAACCCAATTCATGGCTTGACGTTGTTGCCTGGTAAGGCCTCCGGACCTGGATGGTGAAGCGGACACGGGGTGGCACCATCGCGATGAATAGGCGGTGCAACCGCTTGCCTTAAAGTTCGTGAATTTCCCGTAGAATGGTTGGTACCTATAATCGGCTTTGTATTTTCCATCCTCAGTTGCCCAAGAAGATGCATCCCATATTGATCCATATAACCACATTGGCCTTAGTGGAAATGTTGCAATACTCTTCCTAGCATACCTCCTTATTGGCACATCATCCACAAGAAATCTGAACCAAAACCAATCAAATTAACAATATAATTAGTTTTCAGATTTAGGAAATTCTACGATAATAACAATAATAAAAAATTTAGTAAAATCTCATAAATGAAATCTGAGGAGGATAGCTGTTCGCAAACCTTATACCCACATTGTAAAGTTAGAGAACTGATAAACCCTCTGACAAATTTAGAAAATTCTATAAAATAAAATAACATGCAATTTTTTGCGTGTGTGTGGGCCTAATATATTTTGGACTCACATTCAATCTATGTGAGTGAAAAAAAAATGGTGGACCTTTTAGCTATTATGGAAAAAAGGACTACAACATGAATTTAATCCTTTAACATGGTCCCCTCGATACTAAAAAAAGAAATTGAAGTAATCAAAAAATATAACAGATGTCCTTAAATTCATTGGTGAGCAACCATGACTAAATTTAATTGGAGGACAACCATACTTTAGTGTCAAATGATTTTTGTCGGTAGAATATTTCCTTATCATTAAATTTACTTATACAGCCCGGTGCACAAAGCATCCAATATTCACATAGGGTTCAGAAAAGGCCGTACTCTAGCCTACCTTGATTTAAGTATAAATGGCTAATCCACTGCTCGAACACGTGACCTATAGATTACACAGAGACAACTTTGTCGTTGCTACAAGGCTCCCGTTGTATCATTAACTTTACTTCAATGAAATAAATAAGAGGATTCAAATGATAAATTAAGTAGTGCTTACATGATCTCTCTAGGACTCCACAGAATAGCATAGTGATGAAATTCCTTTGTTGGATCAAACCACAAATGAAACTTCATTTCTCTTCCTACAATTTTCCCATCTCCGCTTCCTCTAATATAAACATTGGTTTGCAATGTATAAGGCTTCCCAAATGTTGTTCCAAGAAATTCTATGTCCACTTCATCATGGTACCCTGGATGAGCTTCATTATTTGAAAGCTGCCATATATTCCACTCATTAATGAATTAAATCAACTAAAATGTACTAACTACAAATATATATAAGCGAAATTCTTACGTAAAAAGCTGTAATAACACCAGCAGTATAACCAGGTTGGAGTTTAATGGAAGCACCAAAATACCCTGATCGAAATGNAAAAAAGGAAGAAGAAGGGTAGTTCACACAAAATAGGATAATCCTATGAAAGATTGACACTTCCACCGATGTACTTTTACATCCCACAGCTTCAGCAGTTCGCTTAGTTCACCAAATAAACGGCTCTATTTAACGCCAACATTCCGGTGTTAGGGAATGGTCTCTTTTGGAGTCTCGACAATAGTCATAAGCCAAGTAGTGACTATGAACCCAATTCATGGCTTGACGTTGTTGCCTGGTAAGGCCTCCGGACCTGGATGGTGAAGCGGACACGGGGTGGCACCATCGCGATGAATAGGCGGTGCAACCGCTTGCCTTAAAGTTCGTGAATTTCCCGTAGAATGGTTGGTACCTATAATCGGCTTTGTATTTTCCATCCTCAGTTGCCCAAGAAGATGCATCCCATATTGATCCATATAACCACATTGGCCTTAGTGGAAATGTTGCAATACTCTTCCTAGCATACCTCCTTATTGGCACATCATCCACAAGAAATCTGAACCAAAACCAATCAAATTAACAATATAATTAGTTTTCAGATTTAGGAAATTCTACGATAATAACAATAATAAAAAATTTAGTAAAATCTCATAAATGAAATCTGAGGAGGATAGCTGTTCGCAAACCTTATACCCACATTGTAAAGTTAGAGAACTGATAAACCCTCTGACAAATTTAGAAAATTCTATAAAATAAAATAACATGCAATTTTTTGCGTGTGTGTGGGCCTAATATATTTTGGACTCACATTCAATCTATGTGAGTGAAAAAAAAATGGTGGACCTTTTAGCTATTATGGAAAAAAGGACTACAACATGAATTTAATCCTTTAACATGGTCCCCTCGATACTAAAAAAAGAAATTGAAGTAATCAAAAAATATAACAGATGTCCTTAAATTCATTGGTGAGCAACCATGACTAAATTTAATTGGAGGACAACCATACTTTAGTGTCAAATGATTTTTGTCGGTAGAATATTTCCTTATCATTAAATTTACTTATACAGCCCGGTGCACAAAGCATCCAATATTCACATAGGGTTCAGAAAAGGCCGTACTCTAGCCTACCTTGATTTAAGTATAAATGGCTAATCCACTGCTCGAACACGTGACCTATAGATTACACAGAGACAACTTTGTCGTTGCTACAAGGCTCCCGTTGTATCATTAACTTTACTTCAATGAAATAAATAAGAGGATTCAAATGATAAATTAAGTAGTGCTTACATGATCTCTCTAGGACTCCACAGAATAGCATAGTGATGAAATTCCTTTGTTGGATCAAACCACAAATGAAACTTCATTTCTCTTCCTACAATTTTCCCATCTCCGCTTCCTCTAATATAAACATTGGTTTGCAATGTATAAGGCTTCCCAAATGTTGTTCCAAGAAATTCTATGTCCACTTCATCATGGTACCCTGGATGAGCTTCATTATTTGAAAGCTGCCATATATTCCACTCATTAATGAATTAAATCAACTAAAATGTACTAACTACAAATATATATAAGCGAAATTCTTACGTAAAAAGCTGTAATAACACCAGCAGTATAACCAGGTTGGAGTTTAATGGAAGCACCAAAATACCCTGATCGAAATGGTTTAATTGACTTGAATCCACTTCCTATATATCATCACCAAGAATATATCAATGAGGAGCAAGAATTTCCATAATACTACTAACTGAAATTAGCGACGGAAATATTCTGTAGCTAAACTGCAAAATCTGTTGCTAATGTTATTTAGCTACGGATTAGCGACAGATTATTAGAAAATTCTGTTAGCGATGGATTCGCCAGATTTTTTTGTAGTTACAAGAAATTAATTAGAAGTAGTAATACTATTCAAGTAAAGAAGGGAGTAATTAAAACTACCTGAATTTCTATCAAGCCAAATATTAATGCCATTATTATCTACATTTTGATGATTAGGGCCCCAAAGGTTTCTAAATCCTTGATAAAAGCTCATAGACCTAAACTTGGAACTTGGATAATAGCCAGGAGAAGGTGGCCAATAACCAGCATTTGTAGAAGGGACAACAATGAGCAAGAGAAGAAAATGGAGAAAAAAGATTGCCATTATTGAATTGAAGAAGGAAAATGATAGAGAAAAATTGAAGATTTAGTAAATGGAGCTTAGCTATTATACATATATATATGAATATGAATGCAGGTTAAAGACAAGAGAGTGTTGAAAGGAAGGTGTATATAGAAGGGGAAGAGCAATGGTGGTACAGTTTGATATAAATAAAAAAAGATGGGTGGACCCCAACATATATATTAGTAACAGTGTTAACACTAACTTCATTGGTTCTTTTTCTTTGTTTTCTTTTTTGGTTAAACAGTATGATATTTTCTCCTTTTGTCTCAACAAAGATTTGTATAATTTCTTTTGAACTTAAGAGTTTAAGAGGAGTTTAATTGAATCCCTTTCATCGACATATTCCAGGGTTCAATAATTTGGCTTATCATCGCGGAGCGGCTTTTTGCAAAAAAATGAAGGGAAAACTCAGTAAGATGTCGGAGAAGCAACAAATTATACTGTACATATATATAGGTAACAAATTTTATACATATAGTATATACTGTTTGAGTTTAGTGACGGAATCAGGATTTTATTAAGGGGATTTAAATATAACCGGAATAAACTCACCAAGAAGTCAACGGGTGTCAATACATAGTATATATACATAATTACAAAAAATTACCTAGCTACAAAGTGGAACTTTTCGGCAAAGAGGTGTCGGTTGACACCCGTTGAGTGCATGTGTCTCTGCCACTGATTGAGTTCCTTTTATATAAGAGAAACTTTAGTGGAAAAAAAAAGTTGCTTTACTTTGCAGCTTTGAATCTCATGCATGGCATTCTAGAATTTTTTTTTAAAATCCATTCTCCATTATGTTTATATACCTGATGTTGGGATCGATATAATAAGGCATCATGAAAAAGCTAACAAGATAAACCTAAGACGACGGTAATTTTAGTTATGGTAGTATTCAAGGAAAACCTATGACATTATGCACTGCATTTTCAAGTTATTTCCTTTCATCTAATTGAAAAAATAGCGATTTGCAGAGAATGGTCATTTTTTAAACTTTAGAAGGGAAAAAACTTAGCAAATGAAGACAAATATGAGATGTGAAAAGGAAAAAAAAAGGAGGTAGACGAGAACGGTGTCTATTAAATGTGCTCCTTTCTTTATTTGTCCGTGTGTACTTTATATTTTTAATTTAAAAAAATGTAATATGGAAATAAAAAAGGAAAAAAAAAGAAAGATAAATGGAGCTCTCTAGAGATATAATGATTTATGTCTATCCTTCAATGAAAGCAACAGCAACAAGAGACAATATTGGTGTATTGAGGGAGACACTCTTGCCTTTAAATTAAAGCAATAAATTAATGAAGTACGTATGTTTTTTAAAATCTTTTTGCCATTTCGGTAAGATTAAATTTACCCTTCTTTTTACTCTATGAATGTCAGTGTACTAGAAATGAAAGGACGAAAAGTGGGTCCATTTTCTGATTTGAGCAATGGTGATGTAAATATGGTGAATAATGATGTCTTTGATAATATTGGAACCTTTCTTTATGTGGTGGGATAAACAGGAGACCATTAAGGTTGATGGTGGAAAGTGGCAGAGCTAAATTTTATCTAAGGTGATAAAATATAAAAAAGTAAATATATTAAAAAAAATAATGAGAGTCAATATAAATATAAATTTTTGAGCTAGTTAAACAGTGTAATTTTCCCGCGAGTGGAATTTAATTGACAACCCTCAACACAAGGTGGTTCTGCAACCGGTAGTGGGATGAATATGATTCCTTTACTTTTTTTGTGTCGAGGGTCTATCGGAAACAATTTATCTGTCTTCTTAAGACAGGGGTAAAGTTCGTGTACACGCTATCCTCCCAGACTACACTTATAGGATTATATTGGGTTTGTAGTTATTGTTGTTTCTCTAAATTAGATGTCTTGGGATTGAGTTTCATGAATGTAATTTTTTTTTAGGGAGCGACTCCTCATTTAATAGGTTTTACGCGATGCGAATTCGGATTAGTCATAACTTCCCAGCGAATACCAAAGATAACAATAACAACAACAACAATAACAAACCCAATTTAATATCATACGTGAGGTCTGGAGAGGCTAGTGTATATACAGCTTTACCATTACTCTATAAAGGTAGAGAGACTATTTCCGATCGAATACCAAAGACAAGTGGGAAATAAAAAGAAAAAGGATGTATAGTAGGTTTCCTTATTGGGTCTACATTGGTGAATTTCATTTTCTTCGGGTACATATCAGTTCTTTATTTCAGATACAATGAATTATAATTTGATAGATAATTGTGAAAGTGAACCATAGTGCTATAGAGAGCGAGTGATTTAACTTTTTTTGCTACTTTAAAGTTGATTATATATTTATTTTATCTCCTCTTTCTAACATGCCTTCTTCTATACTGTCAAATTCTGTTTTCGGAACGTGGTGAGGTAGAATACAAGAAAAAAAAAATCTAAATAATTTTGAAGAATACAAGAGTGAAAAAAAATATAACGAAAACTGAAGAAAAGAAAGAAAAAAAAGTGCCAGCAAAAATAATAAAGATTATCAAAGTTAAAGAAACAATAGTAGTAATAAAATTAAAGAATAAGATAATATAATACTAGAATAATGATTAATACTGATTAATAAAATAGGGAGCGTATAAGGTGCGCTAAACTAGAACCATGATTTCCTACAGAAAAGAGAGAAATCGTTCGAATACCTACTAAACATCTACCCTAATACTCCACCTTCAAGTTCGCCTATTTAGGGTCATGTCCTAGGTGAGTTGAAGATGTGTCAAGTCATGTCTAATCATCTCTCCCCAGTTTTTCATCGGTCTATATATACCTCTCTTTAGGGTCATATAAATATCTAAAAAAATTCACTAAATATCTATAAATATATATTTGTGAATTTATAAATTTTAAATCATCGACCGGCTTCTATAATCTATTCTCCTTCCCCCGATATAATAAAAAAGTTATAAAAAAAAATCATAAGTACTTTCAACATGATATATTTATTTTTAGCATCTCTCACAATCTTAGTGAGCAAAAGAAAAGGACATGTAAGACCCTAGGTAAGAAAAATCAGCAACTTGTCCTTCACTTAAAATGTACAACGGATATATAAAGGAGCCGTTACTTAACAATATTTGGACGAAAATAATGAAAGTCAATCAAAAAGTATTTCTTTGACGAGTTTAATTTCTAACGTTATAAAAGAACTTTTACACCGTCAAATCTTCTAAAAATGAATTATAAGTATTCAAGAGCGGAGCTATAGTAGCTGAAAGGTGGTCAGTTATATACCTTTCGCCTAATTTATATTGTATATATCAGTTAAATATATCACCTTTTAGACGCCTATATTAAATCTTGAATATGTTTAAGAATTTTTTGATTTTGACACTATAAGTAACCATCTATTATAAGTATAATAAGTATTATAAGTGGGATTACTGTACTATATTTACTCTTCATGTTTAGGTGTTTCTATGCTAAGTACTCAATGTTTTTTTTACTATCAAGAACAATTAATATTATTTACCTTGAAAATACGAGTAACAATTAAATTTGTTTGTGGTTTTAAAGATATGTGATTTAATCTGATACTAATTGATAAACAAGGAATCTAATGTATAAATTTAAGAGTAAGGCAAGTCAAACCAATCGTGTAAGCAGACTTCGACCTCGAGCAAAGGAGACCTCAAGATAAATGAGCAAGAACAATAAGAACAGTAAAATAATAATAAAATGATTCAGATGAGCAATACGCAGAAAAGTAGGAGAGTATATTCTTTGCTAATGATTGATGATCGTTACAAATGATTGGAGTCCCCTTTATATAATAGGGAAACCCTAAATAAGGTACATTTCTATTTACAGTAAAGAATCTTATTGGGACAACTGTTTAACCGCCTAGTACGGATTAGTACTGATTTGTACAAATCTATTCTGGAATTTACGCCATGATCTTGGGGACGTGGCAGGAATTTTGCCCATTCTGTTACAAGCCCATAACGACACTATCTCGGGGTTGGTCACACTAAGCTCCGACGTCCCTCGAATACTTAGATCCTCGAGCCTCGTGTTCTGTCCTCGGGCTCGATCTCACTCCTCAGTGGGTTTATTCCTCGACGCAAGCCTTCTGTTCTTCAATGTGAGCCTTCGAGCCCACAAAATCGGGGGCACATGATTTTACCGTATATAAATATTAAAGACAAAATAGAAAAAAAATTAATTATATCTTGATTTTCTAAAATAACAAGTATTTTAGTCTAACTATTTTTAGTAACCGCGACAGCTAAAATGAATCGAGGGAGTAGTGTCTATCTACGACCTAATAAATGCAGGGGAAGTATATGAATAATTATAAAAAATAAAATAAAATAAGAAAAGGAAATCGTGCAATCGTCAAGAAAAGAAGCCAAAAGTGACCAATAATATTTCACACTTGTGAAGCATCGTTCTGTTTTATATACTTTTATTTAGGATTTAAAAGAAATTTATTATTGGCCACCGTTACTAAAAGGTAAGTTTTACAGAAGTGATTAGACCTGCTATGTTGTATGGGACCGAGTATTGGCCGGTTAAGAACGCACACATCTAGAAAATGAAAGTAGCAGAGATGAGGATGTTGAGGTGGATGTGTGGGCATACAAGGATGGATAAGATTAGGAATGAAGATATTCGAAAGAAGGTAGGCGTGGCCCCCATGGAGGACAAGATGCGGGAAGCAAGACTCAGATGGTTCGGGCACATTCTGAGGAGGAGCACTGTTGCACCAGTAAGGAGGTGTGAGCGACTGGCTATGGTGGGCACAATGAGAGGTAGAGGGAAACCTAAGAAGTATTGGGGACAGGTGATCAGGCAGGACATGGCATGACTTAGGATTACTGAGGACATGGCCCTTGACAGGGAATTGTGGAGGTCGAGCATTAAGGTTGTAGGTTAGGAGGAAGTTGTGAATATTTCTACAGCGCACTAAAGTAAGACTAGCCAGTTAGGAGTTAGTCTTAGGATGCTACGCTTTATCTGTTGTATATTAGGATTATTCCATCATTTTCGTATTTCTTATATGGCTGTTATTTTGTTATTTTATGTTATTTTATGTGATGTTATTTTATTATGAGTCTATTGATAGTTCTAATATAT